TTGTGTATTCGATTACGTGAAATTGTTAAATTCTACGAAGAACACAAGTAAGTAAATGCAGTGATAGTGTTTTACTCAGAAAATATACGATGTAAAATCATGAAATACTTGCTTTAAATTTTCGAATAGCTTGTGTGTGAATGTATGTGTATACTAATGATGATGATTGAAGAATATTTCAAAAACAAGAAGAATCCTAATTGATTGACTGTGTTTTGAGCCTTAAGTTATTCAGAAGAAGCGCTTAACTAATAAAAACAACTATAGTGTGAACAGTATTCTGATTGGATGCTTCTTTCAAAAGTTATTATTTTTTTCCGAGAAAATCACTGATTTGCCCCAATGTGCAACGGCTTTACTTCCCTTCCGAAGGAAGGCGTGATCAGAGATGTTATGCGTCAGAACATCCCGGCGGCGCCGACTGGGATTGAACCCAGGCCTGCTGGGGTGCGAGGCAATCACGCTTACCACTACACCACCAGCGCCGCTTTAAAGGTAACCTCATATCGTATAGTATTTGAATACAGCTTGATGCTGTATAAATGAACCCGAGTAGCACACTTTCATCACAATAAGTTACGGCAATTTGTTTATGACTGAAATAAGTCGTATATAAGTTTCTACAATTGATTTGTGACAAGCGTGCTACTAGGGAAATGAGCAAATCGTTTACATTGTGAAAATTGTTAGTTGGGCTAGTTACCGAGGGGTCCATCAACAGATTTCAGCAAAGCGTTTGATCGAATTGACATACCCATACTTCTTTTTAAACTTCAAAAAATGGGAATTCATTATGCACTCCTCAAGTGGCTTGAATCATATTAAACTGACCGCCATCAAAAAGTAAAATACAAAGGAAAGATATCAAATTCCGTTGATGTCACTTCAGGAGTTCCTCAAGGCTCCCATTTAGGACCACTTTTATTTATTTTCTTCGTCAATGACATATCTTTCATTATTAAGAAATTGAAAGTTTTAATATATGCTGACGACATTAAACTTTTTTTGGAAATAAAAGATGTCAAAGACATCATCACATTCAAAGAGGAAATTCAGATATTCCATACTTGGTGTCAAAAAAGCCTGCTACAATTAAATATAAAAAATGTAACTCAATTACCATTAGTAGAAAACAAATCCTACCCGATATAACAATCACTTTAGGAAACCAGATCGTAGAAAAGTGTGATAGAGTCAGGGATCCAGGTGTTATTTTGGACTCAAAACTTGCTTTCACCGATCATTATAACACAATAAAAATATAAACAAAGACAAAATTGTGAAACTAGCACTTAAGACAACAATTTTAAAACGGTCTACACTGATTGACGACAAATAAATAAAAAAAAAAATTAAAAATTAAATTATTAACAGAGCTAACAACATGCTTGGTTTCATAAAACGTTTCTGCTATAACTTTCACGATCCGTATACTATAAAAACATTGTACATTGCTTATGTAAGGTTGATATTAGAATATTGCAGCATAGTTTGGTCTCCTTTTTCAATCACACACGAAGAAAGAATGGAGTCCGTTCAAAAGCAGTTTCTATTGTATGCACTCCGCAAGTTAGGTTGGACTGTATTTCCTCTGCCATCTTATACAGCTCGGTGAATGCTCATAAATATCCAAACATTAAAAGAGCGTCGTGAATTTGCTATGATTTCTTTCGTAAACGATATCGCATCACATCGAATTGATTCAATAGAACTATTGTCATCCTTAAATTTATATACACCATCTAGGCATTTACGAAATAGAAATATATTTGCTACAAATCGTCATCGTACGAATTATGCCAAATTTGGACCCTTGAACCAAATGATGGATACATATAAAAGCACTGCGATCATTGACTTTAACAATGACAAAAACCAAATTAAAGCAATATTTTAATTCCTCGCATAACGTCAACTAGAAGTAATGTTTTAACTTAATTATATTAATAATTAAATAAATAAAATTAATTTTGACCTTTGTTGATCGATTTTTCATAACTTCTTCTTCTTCTTCTTGTTCGCATTTCAATCTTATTGCTTAGCGCGTATTAGCGGTGTTGCGTGCTCTCAACTTAGTGCTCTAAATGCACTTCCACAGTTATTAATTGAGAGCTTTCGATGCCAATACCAATGCATGAATTTGTATACAATCTATGCCCAGGGAAGTCGAGAAAATTTCCAACCCGAAAGATTCCCTCGACCGGACTGGGAATCGAACCCGCCGCCTTCGGCTTGGTAATACCTGGTGCCTTTACTGACTAGGCTATGAGGCCCCTGTTTTTCATAACTAGAACTTCTGAATAAGTACAAAAAAAAGGTTTTTGAGAACTTCGTGCAAAAAGTTGACTGGTTGAAACCAGATATCAGCGAGAATTGTTTCCTTAACAAATTGATTTCCTACACAAGTGATCAATCTTGATGTGAATTTCGCGTATTAACACGAGGAGCATTTCTTATAGCAAAACTTACCATACGAAATGCTCATAGTTCATTTTCGTCAACAAACTAACATTTATTCTTTGTGTGTCACTTTTGTATAAGCACCTAGTGCTCGCCCTCTAGTTGTGAGTGCGTTCAGAAGCAACATGAATCACCTAATTGTAAAAACGTAACTGTCTGGTATAGTTGATCAACCGTTACGAAATTGCAGCTTAGAGTTTACTTGTCGCTAAAATGACGCAATTCCGTTGAACGTCGTTTTTTTTTTAGAAAGAGGTAGCTCTTCAGCTTTACCGCAGCAGTGGAACTTCGGATCAGAAAGCGGCTCCATTTGTCATTTGTAAACACTAGCGCACCTAGCGGTAGAAGGCATCTTCTATCTGCAGTTAAGATAGGCAGCATGCTATGATAGTGTGACTGCACATAGAAAGCCCGTGTGGAACGCTACCACAACACATCGCATGTTGAGCAGAAAAACGAACCATTTTTGATTCACCGATTTGTTGCAGTTCCCCTTCTGTTCTGTGGCTTCACCCATGCCAGACACGAATATTGCTGCCTGAAAACAAAATGCTCATAACAAAATAATAGTAACCTCGCAATTTATTTGAACATATGCGATCATTTGAACTGTGAAATAAAAAACACTCAGGTTGAAGACAACATTAAATCAGACCCAAAATCATTTTTTAACTTTGTTAGAGACAAACAGAAGTCAAATAATTATCCTTCGAAAATTGACCTAGACAACAAAACAGGAAAAATGACTAGAGACATCAGTAAATAATTTGCTGAGTTTTTTCAGGATATTTACACAAATCATGATGACCGGGATTACCAGTATTTCTCATACCTTCCTGAGCCAATGAGAGATATTGTAGTTAATAATGTTACCCTCAACGAAATCTTACATTATCTAAATACATTGGATGCATCAAAGGGTGCAGGATCAGATGGATTGCCACCAATATTCTTGAAATCAGTATCGCAGGAGACAGTAAAACCATTGTTTTGGCTGTTCAACTCTTCTCTCGAATCCTGTTTTGGAAGGAATCGTATTTGATTCCAATTTTCAAAAATAGAAAAAAAAAATCAGACGCAAAAAATTACCGTGGGGTTGCTATATTGCCCTGCATTCGTTAACTCTTTGAATCTATAAAAAAAAAAAACATTTAAACATTTAATTACAGGCAAACAGCATGGTTTTATAAGAAGACGTTCAACGACTACTAATCTGTTGAATTTTGTAACATTTTCTATTAACGCAATGGATAAGGGACATTATGTTGAGGCACTATATACTGACTTCAGTAAAGCGTTTGATAGAGTTGATATCCCTCTTTTGCTATTCAAATTATCTAAGTTAGGTTTTAGTCAACTTTTATTAAAGTGGATTCAGTCGTACTGCCTTTCACTCCAAAGGGCCTGGGTTGAATCCCAGTTGGCGCCGTCGGGATTTTTCTAGGCCATACAATCTCTGATCACGATGCCGTTGATATTTATCCACGAAAATCATGCGTGATCATGGGAGAGATTGAGAATAGATTTTTTAATATATTCTCAAAACTGCTTATTTAACTAGACATAAAACGTAACAAGGACTAAGTTGTGTTCCTTTCGTTACTGAAAAATCCTGTTATGTTAGTTTGAAGCAGTCAGAACTAGGGTTCGGTTCGGTGGTAGATTTTACAACGTAGTGCACCACGAAAAAGTGATATACCACCGTTACATGGAGTCTTATGGGGCCAATACTCATTGCAATCTGGTTGTACAACCGCTATGGTTTTAAAATGAACGATACACAAATAAATAAAAATACTGTTCAGTTAGTCTATTCATATTAAATTCTATGCTTATGAGTAAAAATACGGTGTATGTCACAATATTTGCATAACACCGAAGACAACATATCTTGAAGACTCTTCCATTTTCTCAAACGACCGGTATGATACAGGCACAATCGCGTCATCTGCCGCTCAAAGGTAAATACTCTGAATGAATTGGATAGCAAATAGCGAATTCGTTTATTATCGGGGTTGGAACCAGTTCCAACCCGTGCGAACCCGAACGTTTTATCAGTGCGAACCTCGACCCGTGCCAGGTTTTAAAAACAAACGATCAAACTGACGTTTGCTAGAAAACAAGCAGACCCAATCTTGATACCCGATCCTGGTTGGAACTGAATAATAAACGAATTCGCTAAAAGTATCCATCCCAAGAAGAGAGGTTTCTGTATTTGCTCATTTATCTATGCGTTGCTTCCACCTTCGCTCAAGCACAGTGCTACTGTGTCAGTCGCTCAGATTCAGGCAAAGTTGCCAGTCTTTTTGATATGTTGCCTTCGATTACACCTTGAAATGGCCAATTACGGGTGAAGTGGAGTGCGACGATGTGGAGCTAACTCTACTTGGAAATCATCGTCGCAATTTTAGTTGAAAAGAGACGAACCAGCTAAGGGCTGAAAGTCTCTATAATACAGCGAAAGAAAGAAAAGATGTTAGTTGAATACTTCCAAACGCAAGCGTTTATTATGATGATAGATTATTATGAACCATAATTCTAGCAGTTCCATCCGGCGATACAGGTTGGTGGCATATTGGATGGTGGACATTCGTTGGTATCACAGGGGTTTGGTCTGCATTCCATAGTCGGATCGCAGCATGCAAACCACGGCCAATCACACACTTGTTTAGCAACATTGAAATGCAGTCCTGGAGGGCACATCATTTCACACGCTCTTCCGGTTTCACACTTGTAGTACTTGGAACAATTGTTGTGGCGGAGAAGTAATGGCTTCGGTGGGTTAAATAGTGGACATAGTGGGTTTGGATCACAGTTGTTACAGTTGTTTCCTCCTCCGCTGCAAGGTGGTGTTGGGGTAGGACAGATTATTGGTGGGCATGGTCCTGGTGGTGGTGGTGGTGGTGGTGGTGGTGGTGGTGGTGGTGGCGGTGGTGGTGGCGGTGGTGGTGGCGGTGGTGGTTGTGGTCCGGGACAACCAGTTCCTGGACCGCATGGGTCAGGCATGCAGGGAACAGATGGATCACAGCAAGCCTGTTGAGGCCAATCGCAGGCCATCTTGACGCGGTTGAAGTGTAGTCCAGCTGGGCAGTCGTATGTACAGGCACGACCGTTGTGACATTTCAAGAATTTCGCACAGATGGTATGTGGAATAAGCACTGCCTTGATAGGATTGTACGGTGGGCACCGTGGGTCCAGAGGGCAATTAATCAGACATGTCGTTGTAGTGCAAGGGGCCTGCGCTCTGATAGTGACGCCGCAAAGGGCAATCACTAGACACAACAATTTCATATTCAATTTCACTACAACGGACATATACCGCTACTGCTATGAATCAAGAATAAACCAAACCGATACTAACTTCTCCTTTGTGCACCACTGGTTTTTATACAGGTTTTGTGATTTCGCCAAAATAGATAGTTCACTCAAAACATTATCTTTGTCAAAATTTCACGAGAACTTGACACAATGTCAAAACAAAAAGATATGAACACGGAACTAGAATTCAATCGGCAGAAGCAACCTAGTCGAGAAAAGTGATTCATGTGCACTATTATAAAGCTTCTACTTAGCAATCTTGCTGCAGAAGGCCATGTAGATTTGTTTACGTCAGTTCAAAGTGTTGACGTAGCTAAGTTGTACAGACGAGGTTGGCCAATTCGGTCGTCTAGAGTTCGAGTTCAGGTTCTGGTGTGGGGTGTAGTGGGTAACAATATGATGGTGTGCTGTATAACTAATTTCGCAGCTAAATAAAATCAATAAATTCCTCCATCAAAAAACGTAGACAATATTTAACTCTGCTTCAAAATAAAGCTGAGTAGTGGATGATCGTAAAATGGTTGAATAAGCGCCTTTGAAGTACACACACAACTAAACAGTAGGGTGCTTCATTCTGAAAAAAGTGATGAATTTCTGATGGGCCACCCTCCAGTTCGATTCATAGCCCCAAAATATGAACCTGTGCAAAAATTGGTAAAGATTGATGAAGGTTTAGAGGTCGCGCCAATGATTTGAAATTTGTATGGGAATTACTATGGAAGAATTTAAAAAATCGCTTATATCGCTATAACTTTGCTTCTACTTGTCCAAATGTCGAAAAAATTTAGTATGTTATTGCTATGGCAATAAACAAAAAGCCTACAGTTGCTACGCTCAGTTTTGCAGCGTATCAAGAATTATAAAAATGTGAAAAAATGGCAAAATAGGGTAAATTGACAGATGAATATGTACAAGGCAACAACGCCAATTTCATCGCAACAACAACAGGCTTGTTGATCATTGTCATGACAACCACATATTTTTATTTTTCAACGTTTGGACAACTACAACCAAAGTTAGAGCAATGTAAACGAAAATCAATAATTTCCCATACTAATTCACCAAAATCTCCATACAAAATCCAAATCATTGGCGCGACCTCTAAACCTTCATCAATCTTTACCATTTTTTGCACAGGTTCATATTTTGGGGCTATGAATCGAACTGGAGGGTGGCCTATCAAAAATTCATCACTTTTTTCAAAATGAAACACCCTACTAAACAGTAGAATAGCAGCAGTATAGAAGCGTAAATGGATATGCAATAAGAGCTTGTCACAACCGTCCCAACAGCCATACACACCAAATTTTGAATCAACCTTCCAGCAAAACGAATTGCTTAACAGAGTCCAGCAAAATTAAGATTTACTGTGAATCCAGCAAACATGTTTGTTTGCTGGATGATCGGTAAAATGCGGGAACTGTCAAATAGATTGCAATTTCGTAAGTGGATTCTTTATCGCAAGTTGATTTATTTTGATTGTTTGATACTAGTTTTGTTATTTAATGTTTTGCTATTTAATGTGATTTTCCATCATTATTAAAGGTTAATTTGTATACAAATATCCGTTATAACAGTGCATCTATAATGTGACTTCCTTTTTATTTATTTGCAGGAAGAAGTGGATAATGGTCGGCGTTTACATTCATCGTTTTTGATAATATTTCTTCGATTTCGCTGAATTTATCGCTACATAATTTGAAATACAGCTATGATGCTAAAGTGTGAAATAAATTAAGTTTGAATTACAATTACTTTGATTTTTTCTCAAAATAATACTTTACTAATTTTGCTGATCAAACAGCAAAATAAATTCCTCTTCTGTATTACTGAACAACCAGCAAATTTTGCTGGTTCTACAGTAAAGTTCTGTCATTTTTATGTCAGATTATTTTGCTGGTTATCCAGCAATATTTTTTTGCTGGAGGGATTGCTGGATTTCCAGCTCGGCAAAATCCAGCAAAGTTTTGCTGGTTTCCAGCGAAATAAAAATAGTGTGTTAGTAGCTGACTAAGTTCTCCAGATTTGCTTGTAGGGGTCCACCAATTTGATCTTTGTCGATCGATTTTTCTAGTGTCATAACTAGAACTTCTGAATGAGTACAAAAAAAAGGTTTTTGAGAACTTCGTGCAAAAATTTGACTGGTTGAAACCAGATACCAGCGAGAATTGCTTCCTTACCAAATTGATTTCCTACGCAAGTGATCAATCTTGATGTGAATTTCGTGTATAACCACGAGGAGCATTTCTTAGATTAGCTTAGCTTAGTTTAGACTGACTGCACATATCAATGGTTGCTACTCCGTGATTGTTCAGAATCAGTGAAATTGTACAATGAATCAACTGAATCGAGCTGGGAGTGACCGTCCATTCTTATTGTACAAGTTTCAGTGACTCCATATTTTGTAAATCAATAACGGCGCCGGCCGCGTCCTTGCAATCAGGTGGGAGTAGGGAATGAATATTAGAGTGACCTTTGTTGTTTGTGGGCCGTGTTTACCTCTGCACCCCAACAAAAGACACACGAAAGGAGATTTTGTTAGTAAGTGATGCGACCATGGTTTTAAATGAATCAGTGTTATCATGCATTATACTTGGATTTGCCTGAAGCCTAAATAAACGTTCCATCATCGAATAGCTAAAAATAAACTCAGAGCATGAGCATGAGCAAAATTGAGCGCCCGCGACTGCCAACAACAAAGAGCTGAAAACCAATTCAAACAAATCAAATCAACAGACAAAACCAGGATGAAATTATGAACCTATCAGACACTATAATGATAATTTTTATTTGTAAGAAGCAATAATAGGTGGTAAAGTTTGGGTATGACATATACAATTTTGTCAATTTTGCTTTCAGAAGGTCACAACCAGTGATTTTAGGATCGTTGATTGCTCGCTCATCGTTACAGCTAATCGCTATTGTGACCCTCCCAAAGCTAAGTTTACAGGTTTTGTGTGTCGTATTCAATTTTTTCATTCTCTTCTTGCATCTTGTAAATAAGAATTAACATTAAAATATTTCATAGCTTCATAAACCGAAAAATGGCATTTTAGCTGTAATGAGCATTTGCAAGCTTGAATCTAATGATGTTCCGTTATCGAAGAGCTGGAAGAAAACTTAAATAATTTAAATCAATAGATCCAGTCTTAATGAAGGCTGAAAAACGAGAATAATTATACAGCCACGACCCCATTTTGTCAGCTATCAAAGTATGTGTATATCTTAAACATCCATCTTGAAGGAGGAAGATATGTTTTTTTCTTTGATTTGTTTTCCGTCGATCTTCTTTCCGTGCTGAGCACCAATGCTACCGACGCCAGGGAGGCACAGCTCCCACACCTGGCACCCATCAACTCATGAACCGAGGACCAACGGCTTTACTCCCCTTCCAAAGGAAGGCGTGATCAGAGATGTTATGCCTCAGAACATCCCGGCGGCGCCGACTGAAATTGAACCCAGGCCTCCTGGGGTGAGAGGTAATCACGCTTACCACTACACCACCGGCGCCGCTGAGGAGGAAGATATGAAATAACAATTATGTGGAGAGGCTGACAGGATCGGGTCATAACTGTAATGTGAATATTAGGAAGATTTATCATCATCAAACTGTTCTTGAATTAACCTGGAAGAATGTTTGTGAATAATTGTTATACAGATAAATTAAATTGATTAACTAAATGGTTCAAACAACAACTCCAGCCTGTAGAAAAGATGAAAATAGGGAATCTTTACAATGTGGATCCTACGCTATTCCACTATCGATAGGCTGAAAGTATTCAGTCTAGATCAATAGATTTAGCTATTTGAACCTAAGCTGGAAAGGAAGGAAAAATATACGAATCACTTCCATCGTAGTAAAGATGTACCACATACCAAGCCATACCCAACAAACAATTGCCTATTGAAGAAACGACTTCTTGACGATTTTATTCCACTTCATGCTTAATAATCGTTGTACTATTTTTAATAATAACTTCTGTTCAGGCTTTGTTCACACAAATCTGGAGAATTTATTCAACCACAACATCGAAATATTTGGTGTTGAATAAGGTATGTCGAGAAGCTATTATTCGACTACGAAAGTTATAACAGAGCTTATTCGATCAAATTTTTAATTATTTAGCGTTTATTAGACACCATTACTTTCTTAAACAGCGATGGTATAAAGGTGTAGTAGTAGACGCTTGATTCTCATGTGAAATAATGTTTAATTAGACACTATATTATACATTTATTAAACGATTACTTAACTACGAGATAATTATTCCGAAAATAAGAACGGGACAGAGCAGGGTTGTTCTTGTTTGGTGATTATTTGTTGGTGTCATTATTTCTGTCGAAGCACGCACCAGATACTAGAAAATTTATTATATACATACATACATACATACACACATGTCGTTAGATGGGATTCGAACCATGACCTTCCGATCAAAAGCCGCTTGCCTTGCCATCTGACCTATCCTAGAATACATCATATGGGCAGCTAAATAAGCAATAAAAGCTTGAATCTGAATACATATTAGCAGTCCTAGCCGTAACTCTAGCTAGTTCAAGGAGATGTGAGAATGATTAACTCATTCATAGTTGTTTAACATGAGACCAACGTTACCTCTCTCTCTCTCTCTCATTTCGATGGAAAGGATGCTATTCTTTTCGATAGATCTATGAATTGGTTGTCGTGAGTGATACAATCTATGATTACGATTTAAATTAATAAGGCGTTGAAAATAAATAAATAAAAAAGGGTTGAGGTTGGGATTGAACTCGTGACCTTCTACTTGGAGAGTGGAAACGGTAACCACTATGCTACCAATTTCGTTTTGTTGTTAGCCTGAAGCAGTGTTGTCGAATAATGAATGAATACGCCGTTTGTAAAGCATTTACAAAGCATGAAATTAAAACATGGTGGTATAAGAGCTATTTTGCTGACTGTATTCACAATTATTCAGTTATATTGTTTAGCAATGCAATGAAATCT